TTGCCTTTATTCTTTTGTAGGTTTTTAGAAGATTTTTACAAGTATTTTGGGCAGTTTATTTTCAAGTTTAAAAGATCAAAAGTTTGGTTTGTTTATGTGAAGAAGTTTTCACAAAGAGAAGAAGCTTTCAATTTCGGTTTTGAGGAGTTCAACCTTAATTCTCATCTACATCTCTTTGTGCCATTTTAGAGAAATTTTTCTAACTCTTTAATCTAGTTTATTCTCATTTTGATTATCATATACATATTTGCTAGATTAAGTTGAGTTTAATTTTTAATACTCTTATTGTTTACACACGCACCCCTTGAGCTTTAGTATTTCACATATTGTATACACTTGGGTTATGGGGTTGTATCCTTGAGTAAGATTAGACTTTGTTCTCATCCTTGTTTAGAGAATAAATTATTTACTTGCACTTTATTGTTGAGAGAACACATTGTAATACACAAGGACACTTAGAGGAGTGGTTAGTGAGAGACGTGGTCAATTCTAAGATGAGTGGCGTTGGTTGTAAATCTTAGGGAGAGGTAGTAATTCCAAGCACTTGAGGAAGGTGACACGGGCTAGGCCAATACTTAGAGAAGTGTATTGTGTATTGACAATTGTGTGAGATTGTAAACATTATCGATGAGTGTTAAAAACCAATTGTGTAGTTGTTTTTAAGATAGTGGAGATTCTCCTCGAGGGTGAGGAGCAGAGACGTAGGTCATGGGTCGACCGAACTTTGTGATCATTTGTCTTATGTTTGCGATTGTCTTTTGCACACTATCTCTTTTATATCTTGTGTTCTCGTTTATATTGCCCTTGTTCATTATATCCTTGCATATATCTTATTGGATATCATATTTACTAGGATATTAGTTAAATAAGTTTTTATTTAGCATTAATATCGGATTAGATTAGCAAATACCCTATTCACCCCCTCTTGGGTACTTTCATGTGGTATCAGAACTTGGTGCTCTTAATTTGTGGCTTAATTGCCTAGAGTCAAAGATCCAAGCTTTTATATCTTACTAATCTAGTTTTGTTATTTTTGCTTGCATATATATCATAGATATGAACGATACACCTAGTTTAGGTTATATCATTAATATTACTCCAAGACTCGATAATTTCCATTATGCTCAATGGTGTGTTAGATTTAAACTTTTTGTTAGATCTAAATATTTTAATTTATGAGAAATAATTGATTATGCTTATATTGTACCCACCTTGGAGAAATCCAAGTGGAGTAATAATGATAAAAAGATGTTTACCATGAACAAGCTATTGTTAGAATTTTTGCCAAATGCCTTTGATTCATCCATATCTAACAAGCTTGCTTATTTTGATAGTGCTTACAATTTGTGGAAATTCATAAAAGCACATCAAGAAAACTTGGAGGATATCTGACGTGCTTTAGCGGATTCTACTTCAAGTACAATTGGAGCCTCATCGTGCACACGGCCACTAGGCGATAGCCCTAATGAGGTATGCGAGTCTGATATCAATAATGATATATATTGATGAACTCGCTTGTGCATATGATAAATTAATACATGCCTATAAAAAGTTACATAGTAATTTTGTAGATTTGAAAAGCAAGCATATAAATTTAAAATCCGATCTTGAGACGCTAACTTCCAAATTTGATATCATTATAAAAGAAAATATGATGTTTAAAGAAAACAATGATAAGTTAAGCTTGAAAAATAAAATTTTGACATCATCAATAGCTAGCTTAACTCATGAAAAGAATGATTCCATGTTAAAAGTAGTAACTATTTAAAAATGAATTTAATTCTTTCTAGAATAATTATGTTTGTTCTACTTCTATTATCAATACAAATGTGCAAAATGAAGAGTTGAATCATATGAATAACTGTATTTCTTCTTTAGATTCAACCTTAATTAAAATGTATTGACAATCATAAGAAGCTTGTGAATATGTGTGCTAAGTCAAGTGCAAAAAATTTTAAATCATTCACTCACTATGCACACATATATAGCAAAGTTTATAAATGCACTATTTGCGGCCGAAAGACCATTTAGCTAAAAAAATTGCTATGATGCATGTAAACACTCTAGTATCGATAATCCAACTCGATCCATGTGCATCTCACACACATACACTTGCACCTAATAGTCATCACATGCATATAAAGTATGATTTTTATGGTCGTTTTGGTCATTTGACCAATTTTTGTCTTGATTTAAAAAAGTTTCACATTTGCAAAAAATAATTTTAATGGACCATCTTTATTTGTAAATGTTTCTCTTTCACATTATCATGGTCAACAAAAATAAGTGAGTCTATTCCATTACACTTATTGCAATAGGAAGGGTCATTTGCATAATTATTATTATGACTGATCCCGTGTACTAAATGCGTCCAAATAGGATCATAACCCAAGAGCATTGAGCTATGATGATAGGGGTCATGCCTCTAAACTCTTCGGTACCAAGAGTGTTTGGGTACCAAAACATGTTTGATTTTAAAGAACAAATTTTTTTATTTTCATACTTCTAAAAGATTATTTTTTTTTGTTTTGTATACGTATTGTTTCATATTTTGTGTTTTTGGATAATAGACTAACTATACTATTTATATTGTTTCCAAAGTCTATTAATCCATTAAAATTGATTCTAAAATTTGGTTGAAATAGATTTGTCAAAATCAAGTGTTTTAAACGAACTCGTATTTTTGAGATTTTACAAAATGATATGTTTTCACAAACGGAAAACGATGTTTAAAAATTTTCTTTTCCATCATGTTTGTTTTCATCGGATGAACATTTTCCCAAATTTTACAATTTTTAAAATTTATTTGATATTTTTAAAAGCACTTCGAAAAACAAATTTACTATTCAAAATGAGTATGTGCGTGTTTTCCAGTCAATCGATGAACTCCTTTGGAATACTGATTTGTTTTTGCTCAGTCGACTGATCGCCATCAGTCGACTGAAGGAGCTCATCAGTCGACCGATGGTGTCCAACAGTCGATCGATAAGCTTTTTAGCAGTTGCAACGGTCATCTCATCAGTCAACCGATGAACCTATCAGTCGACCGATGACACTGTATCGGCTAGTTTTCTGATTTTCAATGATTTTTGTTGTTTTTGGGGATTTTCTCTGGTTTTGGATTTTTTGTTTTCAAACTCATATTTTTGGAAATTTGCTCTGTTATTCATTACTTATTATGAATCTATTGGGTTTTTTTCATAACAAGTATTAAGCTCGTGTTCACACCGATTATTTTGATCCCCCCGCTTTATAATTGTTAATTTATATACCCTTTGAATACGCTAAGCCACTCTAGTGTAAAAAGAGAGATGATTGATTATAATTCTTTATAGACTATAACTTATAGGCCATCTATTAACTAATATTTTAAATGCTTATGAAGAAAGAGACAATGAGTACATTATTTTGCTACGATTATGAGAAAAAGAAAATGTAGTTTTTTTAATCACTTGAAGTAGATAGTTTGCATGGTAGAGTTTTTCTTAGATAAGTTAAAATTTTAAAATTTAAATTCAAATTTAGATAGACTAACCATCAACTTCTCTTTTATAAATACGAAAACAAAATAAATTGGGAATTTTAAAAAATAAAAACCAATTGGAGTTTTAATGTGCTGATATTTCAATCAATGCTCGTACCATGTTTCATACGAGTGAGCCTCTTGTCACGACGTAAGCCTTTGGACCACTTAGGGGTTGTTTATTTCCATAAATTTGGTGTGTTTTGCATTAAAAAATAGGACCCTCAAGCTTCGACATCCTATATTTTAACAAAGACATTGTTTGTTTGACATTTTCCATACCATGAATTTAGGATTGGCATGCAAAATGAATGCATCAAATGTAATTTTCTAAATCTGATTTCACCCAATTTTGTTATTTTAGTCGCATATTCTCAATAAAGTGCAGCGCAGCCAAACAAGCTTTCTTTCAAAAAATTGTTGCATTTTTGGGTCTTCTAGCAGTAGAAAAGTTAGGTTTTTCTTCCGATGTTAGTCCTTTAAGATCTCAAAAATTCAACGCAAACCATTGAAATTGGTATTATATCCCCCAACTCTTAGAAGATTGTCTCATAATTAAGTAGTCCTTTAAATCATCAGACTCGCCATTATATATCTCAATTCTCATAATCTGTTCCAAGCTAAGCCCGCCAATCAAGAGAAGCAGTTCGAATATGTAACAATTGCGGGACGTAGTCGCAAGTTCAGTCATTTGGGTGACTAATTTCAAGATTAACAAGAATTCAAGGGACTAATGTCGACAAACCAGTAACAGAGAGCTACGTCGCAAATATCAGATGGGCCGGGCTTTTATTAGAAAAACCATTCCCAACTTCTTCAAGCCCAATGAAACACAGCCCACGCCTGATCCCCCACCAACTCCAAAATGAATCCGAACACCGCTCCGCTCGTCTCTCTCTTCTGCCCTGCCATTCGCCATGCCTGCTTGCCTGCTGACGACGACTCTGATCGGCACTGATCTTCTCCCCAGTCTTTATATAAACGAGATCCAAGACCCTAATAGGCCGATCACTGTGTCAAAAATCGTCGCGAGGAAAAAAAAAAAAAAATGTCTCCACCTCGATTCTCCTTTCAACCCTTCAATCCCCCTCTCTACTCCCCCAAAACCCTAGCTCCAAACCCTAGCCCTAATCCCCCAGCCTCCCTCGCTTTCCTCCCCCCATCAGATCCTCTCCCTCCTCAAACCCTAACCCTCTCCTCCTCCAACTCAAGTCTCGTCTCGCTGTCGGCCGACCCCCTCTTACGCGCATCTTCCTCCTCTCGACTCCGCCCACCATCGCGAGATCGCCGCCCTCTCGGCTACGACTACGCGTTCGCTCGACATTGGAGCACGCGCCCCTCCGACATCCCCCCGCGCCCTCTCCCTCCTCCGCTCCTCTCCGCCGCCTCCACCCCCGGCTCGTCATCCGCCTCCGGACACCACTGCGCGCCGCCGCAGAAAGCCTCGATCTTAGGGCCGCCGGATCATAGTTCTCCCATGATCGACTCTGCCGCCGCCGCCGAGGGACGGCCGTCTCTTCTGCCGCCTACCCCCCTTCGCGGCGTCCGCGGTGCCGCGCACACGATCGTCTCCGCGCCTCCTGCGTACGGCATCGATGTACGGCTACCTCTCTCGGATCAGAGGACGATCTCTTTTATCGATGTGCCAGCGTTCGATCGGCCTAAAGCGATCGTGGAGAACATTGAGGAGATTGCTAATGTCGAGGGGGTGGACTGTATTCAGATGGGCCCGTTGGATCTGAGTGCGAGCATGGGGTATTTGTGGGACCCTGGTAATAGAAAGGTGAGGGCTTTGATGAAGGAGGCGGAGATGAGGGTTCTAGGGGTGACGAAAAAGAAGGGGGTTTATTTGGGAGGTTTTGCGATGCCGCATGATAAGCCGGAGGATTTGAAGATGAGGGGGTATCATATGGTGGCCGGGGCAGTGGATATTGGAATGTTCCGGAAGGCAGCGGTGGAGGATGTGAAGAGGTTTAGGGAGGCGGTGACGGAGATTGGGGAGGAGGGTGATGATGATGAGAAGACTAAAGAGGAGGGGTATTGGAGCGAGTGACAATGTGAGTGTTCTTTGCTACTCTTCTAGAGATTTCTAATGAGTATATCGCATGTAGAATGTAGAATGTGAGGATGTAGGGTTTCTTTCTCTATTGATTTAAATTATCTTCTTATGTTTTTGTTGTTTATTTGTGCGTAGAGAATTGAAATAGAGCTTTCTTCTTTTAGAGGCTCTTGTGTCATTGAATAGAGAATAATGGGCATCGTATGACATATCATGTTCTCACTCATATGGTGAGGTGAGTGAAGCTCAGCGAAGCTCAGCCAACAAAGCTTGGTTGAGATTCAACCACATCACATCACTATATATGAGACGGTCCCTTCATATATCAATGAGCAAAATTGATCCGTGCGATGTTGCAACATTAGTGTAAAAAGCTAAAAAATAATAATAATGATTTAAGCAATTGAAATTGGTTTAAACGAATTTGTAAGTCTGAGTACTTATAAGTAGGATTTTGGCGTTGTAGAGGAACTGAGAAGGAGAGATCGACAAAATTATGAGGAAGATTTGTGGTTGGAATTTTAAAATTTGGGAAGACATTTGAGTTAAATGAGTTTTTTTTCGCCATGGAATATGTGGTGGCAGAGCTCAAATTGGATGAGCTGGTTCTAGATCATGGGATTGGAGACAATGACGCCTAGGAAGGATGATATTGTTGTTCTATCTAGTAAAGCTGTTGGGAGTTTCACTGTGGTAGCTATAGTTGCTAGCTCCAGTGCAATTTTATTGTTTTAGTAGATAGTATAATGATACTCATTATTCTTGATTGAATAATAGCTATTATGTTTAATATTGTGAAGAATTTGCACCGTCTATTTAACGTTGCGATGTATCTGGAAGCAATACCATGCATCTTTAGGATGGAAGTATCAGTAAAAGATACTAGGAGGACAGTTCCTTATATTACATAGTCAAATAGCTTCAATTAAAGGAGAGCATGAAGTGGAACATGGAACATGTGTGAGTGATTGTTTGCTTGGGTCTTTTTCTTTTTGGTTTCACTATTGATTATGGCTATAGTTCACAAAATTGATGTCAAAGAATTGTTTTGGCTCAGATTGAAAGTTAACTTGTTGGAAATACATGTTACCATTGAAATTGAATAAATTTCCATTGAAAGAGGATAGTATTAGAACAATTCTGACCAAAGACAATTAAGGGGAGTAATCCTCGAAATGAATTCAAACTAGGAGGAAAATGACTTTCAATATCCCTAGAGAGATTCGTTGTAAAGAGACAAAGATGAAGAACAAAAAGAAAAAAAAAATTGAAGAATCAACCAACTGAGAAATATCTCTAGTTATATACTTCCAAGAGAAATATTTTATTCTTCTTCAAATTATAAACTCATTTAGACCTATGCAAATTGTTGAACCATGCCGTGTCCTCTTGTTTTTTTTGAATGTTTGTTCTATTTGTTTCTCAATAAGCTTTGCATTACTTCGTCAGCAGCGGTTTGGCTCATCTCCAGTTTGGCGAACTGAGCATTGAACGACACAGCAATTGATTCGGTAAGAGCTTAAACAGCTAACACATAAATACATAGGTGAAGGAATCATATGAATACATAGGTGAACAAACTTATGGTTGAGTATAACACGTACTTGGAATCCATGACTTGTCTACTGGATGTTGGTATTTTGACCTTGCTGCATACAGTTTCCTGTCAGAGTGGTGTACTTTATCTTCATATTAAGTCTTTAAAATCATGGGCTTGTAACACAAATTGTTTTTCAAGTTTGAACCTACGTTTTTCATGGGTTTATTTATGACTAATTTGCACAGCTAATACATTTTAGGTTTATTGATGTCCTGGACTTCATCTAGCTGCATAGTTAACCGTATGAAAGTGATTATCTTCGGTGGTATATGTAGGTCACCTGCATATACCAAAGAAGAGATGATGTTTAGAGATGCCATGGATGGTAATAATGATATTCAAAGCCAGCGATACTTCTTCATTACAAATGTTTAAATGTACATTATGAATCTATGACGATGTTAGTGAATTGTGACCTGTGAGTTGTGACCATCACCACGTTACGTGAAAGGAGTTGTTTGGATGATTTTGTGAAAATTGAGGATCTATGACACAATTTGGAAAGTAATCATCCGCCTCATCACCTTGCCTTCAGTTTTTCCTTCCTTAGGCTTGGAAGTCATAGAATTTATGGGGTGCACGTCCTGTCAGAACCGCCCGCATGCGAATGGGCGATTCTCCACCCCTCGAGTGAAAAACAAGCGGTAGTGTGGTGATTTCACCTACTCATTGTGTGGCAAAGAACCACCTACTCGCATGCGGGTGGTTCTGATAGGGTGTGTATTTGAATATATGACGAGTTTTCACTTTCCAGCAAAATCATTGTATTTTAGAGTGATTTTGATTTGAGGAATTAGAGGTACTATATTATTGTTGTCATGCTTATTAGATATGCTGTTAAACAAGGAAAAAGTTTGGAATTTACTTGTGCATTCACGAACCAGCAACGTTCCTACTTTTCCTTTGAAAAATACGTGGAACCAAACATCATCTGATGAGGGGGGTTATTGGTTGGTGTAATTTTAGGGTAAATGAGATAATTTTTGGGATTTTACTTTATGGTGTTATTCATTGGGACAATAAGATTGAGATTTTATTTTAAGGTGTTATTTATTGGGACAATGATATTGGGACAATTACCCCTACTTTTCCCAAAATTATCCCATTTCTATACAAACTTTTTGTCCCAATATTCAAAAATTACCTCATTCTTAACTTTAGGACAATCATTAGGAAAGTGAGATAGTTTTGAAACATTAATTTATTAAATATCTAATATATGTTAATTGAATTATAATATATAATATATCTTAACTATATTATATTATAAAATTCTATTATAACGTAAGATAATAAAATATTATATAAAATTATCTAATATAACATTATTATATATCATTATTACATATTGGTTAATAATATTTCATATATTATAATATAAGTATTATATTATTATAATATTACTTTATATTATTTAGTATATATTTTATTAGTTAGAATAAAAATATTATTGTAGTATTTTTATGATATAAAATATTGTATTATAATATAGTGTTTATATATTTAATATAATAATATATCAATTGTATTATAATATAATTTATTATATAATAATTTACTATTTTCTATTATACTTTATTATATTAATTGATAGTTTTAAATATATTGTTAATATTATGGTAGTTATAATATTAAATAATATTTTATCACTATAATAAAAATTATAATAAATTACTATATATTAAAGTATGATAATATAAATAAAATTAATATAATATAATATATTATTTAATAATATTTCTTAATTAATAATATTGAACATATTAATAGTATCTTATGATTATTATAAATATTATATTTTAATAAGAGCCATGTCAATCAAT